CCAAAACCCTTATAATAAGGTGGGAACTAGGTTACATGGAAAATACAAAGTTACGGTAAATAACTGAAAAAGACCGCCATAATGGCATGGCTTATTTTGAGTTCAATTGCTCCAAGCTTTGGGAAAATTTTTGGTAGGAATTTGGGGGTTATGGCATAGGTTAGGACAAAGGTTACCGGACAGGGGGGTTACTGGCAAAAATTTTTTTGGGACAAAAAGGTTACCGGACATAATTTTACTAACATGTTTTAGACATGGGTTCCCGGACAAAAGGGTTTACCGCCCAATAGGTTAGGAAAATTTTACCAAATTGGGGTTTCCGGGACATAAGTTTACCGGACATGAGGTTACTGAACATAAGTTTACCCGACATAGGGTTACCGGAGATAAGTTTACCGGATATAGGGTTATTGGATATGAGGTTACCAGATATAAGTCTACGGGATATAAGGTTACGGACATAAGGTTATGGGACATAAGGTACGGAGTAATTTACCGGGACAAAGGTCCCCCGGCAAAAGGTTTAGGGACATAAGGTTACCCGGCATGTTCCGAAATAATGTTACCTGAAAAAAAGGGTACCGGAAAAAGGGGAAAATTTAAAAATTGTTTCTAAAGTACTGGCAAAAGGGTTCCTGGACGGGGTTCCTGGATAAGTTTCCGGAAAAAAATTGGGGGACAAAAGGGTTTCCCGGACATAGGTTATTGGACAAAGGTATTATTTTTAAAAAAGGGTTTTGTGGGCAAAAAAAAGGTTTTTCGGATTAAAGTTACGGGACATAGGACTGGACATAAGGTTACTGGACATAAGGTTATTGGACATACGGTTACTGGACATAAGGTTATTGGACATAAGGTTACTGAACATATGGTTACTGTACATAGGGCTACTGGGCAGAGGGTTACTGGATATAAGGCTACTGGACATACGGTTACTGGACAATAGGCTACTAGACAATAGGCTACTGGGCATAAGGCTTCTGAATACTACAATAAAAGAATGCGCAGCAGGGCGACAAACACGTGCAGACTGTGATGCATGGTAGGTTAGACATACTGAATATGACAATTGGTTCTACAGAGCAAACACAGGTTCATGCGGGAACGAGTAAGGATACGGATATGACCACACACAGGTGGGAGCTGTCACTGAACGGATGCAAATTTGATGACATGCAGATGAAACGTTCAGGAACAGTGATGGAAATCGATGAGTATTGGTTGTGTTACAAAATCGCAACGGAAACAGAAACCGCGACTTATCAGCAGAACAGATGATGCAGACAGATCAGAAGTATTTTGAAAACATACTTGGCAAAAGAACCAGAGAAATTGGCAGCGCCTGTATATAAAACCTTCAAACAGCTGGGCAACATATAATTCTCCTCTATTTCATGTGATTAAGAACGCAGGGCTGTCATGTGACTCAGGTTCGAATCGCAGGTATTAATATTATTTTTAAATTTTATTTTACTTGGGGCAAAAATAATATCTCAACCTGCAGTTTCTGGCGACAGGGACCAGTCGCCGAGCAACCTTAAATCTTCAGGCTCAAACCCCACCCTTCTTCCCCTCCCGCCTAGACAACAAAAGCAGTAATTGTCGGCAGTAGTCCATGTATTAGGATTCTGTCTTGTGTTCTGTCCATTCTTTCTGACACAGCAGATGATCTCCCATGCTGGCAAACTAAACTGTCTAACATACTCTTGTTTGGTGTCTCCTTTACTGACTTCCCGGGTTTCCGTTGTCGTGAGAAACCGCCCCCTCTCATGCTGTGCCCAAAACATGCAGGGCTGTTTAATTCCGACAGAAGAACCAATTGTCCTTCTGTTTTTAGGCAACTTTGTTAACAAAGACTTCACTTTCAACATAATTTCTCCCTGATCTGTCTATGATTCCCGAAACACCATAAATGATATAGGCAACATCGTCATCAAACTATTAGTAAATCGAGATGAAAAGTCATGATCGCAGACGCCTGTCTGGACAGCCGATTAGGATAAACTACGAAATATATCAGCCGGTCAACGAAACAAATATCTTCTCTTTATTTCGTGTGTACATTGTTATACAACTCAACAAGGACATATCAATCAAAATCGGGCACAGAATGCGGGTTTGCATTAGGCCGATATCCAACCGACCATCCATATAAAAACATGCGGACTTTATCTGAACTGGTAAAGTCAATCAGCTGATACGTATAGCACCATATATCGTTAAGATATAAGCATCATTTATCGATAAGATAACGTGTGTTAGCGTGACTGGATTACATCGATGCAGCCTTGGCCAACCTAACCTCTGCAAAGAACCGCAGGCTGGTAACCGAAAAGTCACGTAGGCTGATACTGTTAATGAAATGAATTACTGAACAAACTCTAAAGCAGGAAGCTTAACGAATTGATACGGCTAATGGCGAGCTATAAGTGCTTGCGTAGACTTGGCGTCCTTGGCATACTAGTGGTACGGCCATTGCACTTACGATTTGGCCGGTTATAGAATTGTAACAGCGTGACGTATGTCTATAATTAGCGAAGAACTAACCTAAGTGGCGTTGTCGTAGACGACACAATCTATTTCTTCAAATGAAAGCCGTATATCGTGGAGCGTCACATCAACCCACAGCCTCGTGTTTGTTTCCCCAGTTAACATTTATTTTTAATAGTTAACAAATATTCTCTGTTACAACATCGAGCTGTGCCGAATCTCCTTTCTAGTTCTTCCATTGTCTCGTTTATCCTAAAACTGTCGAGCTGATACCCTGTCAGAACTGAAACCAAGCCATACGGTTGTTTTGAACTCTCTTCCTTGGGGAACCGTCAACTGCCTGCCCTGAGCCTGGCCTGCTCTGAGCTTGGCCTGCCCTGAGCTTGGCCTGCCCTAAACTTGGTCTGCCCTAAACTTGGCCTGCCCTGAGCTTGGCCTGCCCTGAGCTTGGCCTGCCCCAAACTTGGTCTGCCCTGAGCTTGGCCTGCCCTGAGCTTGGCCTGCCCTAAACTTGGTCTGCCCTAAACTTGGCCTGCCCTGAGGTTGGCCTGCCCTGAGCTTGGCCTGCCCTAAACTTGGTCTGCCCTGAGCTTGGCCTGTCCTGAGCTTGGCCTGCCCTAAACTTAGTCTGCCCTGAGCTTGGCCTGCCCTGAGCTTGCTCTGCCCTAAACATGGTCCTGAGCTAGGCCTGTCCCAGGGTTGACTTATATTTTTCCCGCAGCGAGGTACTCTCATTTGTTTTTTTAATTCGGCAGATTAGAATCTCAGTTTAGTAACTATTTCGATTTTTATGTTGTCTGTTGTATGCTCCTAGCTCTTTTTCTATGAGTGTCGATCAATACTTATAACTATATTTATCCTCTTCAACATTACTGGTTGGACTGTGTTGCTGATGTTTTCCTATGATTGGGGTAATCAGTTTCAAGCCAACAATCCTTAGTAATCTTTTACGACATGCTTGATAGGTACTTCTGATAGTTTATTCCATGTGGTGTTGGTCCATCCGCAGACCTGTATTGTCAATCATTTCGCAAATGGGATGTAGAGATGGTGAACCACATGTGGGGAAGTACTAAGACTCATACAAGTCAAGGGATGTAAAGATGTTGAACCGCAAGTAGAAGTAGAAGAAAAAGAAGAAGAAGAAGAAAAAGAAGAAGAAGAAGAAGAAGAAGAAGAAGAAGAAGAAGAAGAAGAAGAAGAAGAAGAATGATGATGATGATGAGAGAAGAAGAAGAAGAAAAAGAAGAAGAAGAAGAAGAAGAAGAAGAGAAGAAAGAAGAAGAAAGAAGAAGAAGAAGAAGAAGAAGAAGAAGAAGAAGAAGAAGAAGAAGAAGAAGAAGAAGAAGAAGAAGAAGAAGAAGAAGAAGAAGAAGAAGAAGAAGAAGAAAAAGAAGAAGAAGAAGAAGAAGAAGAAGAAGAAGAAGAAGAAGAAGAAAAAGAAGAAGATGATGATGATGAAGAAGAAGAAGAAAGAAGAAAAGAAGAAGAATAAGAAGAAGAAGAAGAAGAAAGAAGAAGAAGAAGAAGAAGAAGAAGAAGAAGAGAAGAAGAAGAAGAAGAAGAAGAAGAAGAAGAAGAAGAAGAAAGAAGAAGAAGAAGAAGAAGAAGAAGAAGAAGAGAAGAAGAAGAATAAGAAAAAAGAAAGAAAAAGAAGAAGAAGAAGAAGAAGAAGAAGAAGAAGAAGAAGAAGAAGAAGAAGAAGAAGAAGAAGAAGAAGAAGAAGAAGAAGAAGAAGAAGAAGAAGAAGAAGAAGAAGAAGAAGAAGAAGAAGAAGAAGAAGAAGAAGAAGAAGAAGAAGAAGAAGAAGAAGAAAAAGAAGAAGAAGAAGAAGAAGAAGAAGAAGAAGAAGAAGAAGAAGAAGAAGAAGAAGAAGAAGAAGAAGAAGAAGAAGGAAGAAGAACAAGAACAAGAAGAAGGACAACAACAACACCAACAATAACAAGAAAATAATAATAGTTAGTGTAGATGATAATGTTGAAGATAGCTAAAATATTTTACTGAATATCGTTTCAACCATTAATTACTTCTTTAATGAAAGGCGCTTTGAACTATCTTATCTATTTATTCGATATATACCATAGCACCACCCACCCCCCTCCCCTCAACAAAAAACCCACTGCCAATTGTTTATCAAAAATATGCAATCTATTGTTATTGCGTAACCTTCAAGGGTATCTTGTTCAATGTGTATGACCTGGAAAAGTTGTTTAGGGCAGCAGATTTGGTTTGACCTCCGATGTATCCGGGTTATGTCGTTCTACTGGAGCTTAATCTTCGTCGATGTTCATTTTCAACATTGATTTGGGCTCCTGTGTCAACCTAACCTAAACATGGCTATCAGAGATGTTCTGGGAAGTCAAGGAGATCTGTGGGCTACCAACCACATCAGCTGTCGGATGTCGGTCGGTCAATAACAGATTTGGTGTCACTAAAATGTATCCACCATAGAATAAAATATATCCACTTGGGAACTGCCCCTTCTCTGAGCTGACTTCTCTTACCCACAATAAATATGGGAAAACGCTGAGCAGGAATCACATATATTGTAGTGTAGACATTAGTAAACATCAGCAAGTAATGGGGAAGTTGAGAATACATAGCAGAGAACAACAATAAGGTTGAGAACCCCTAAACTAGAGTAATCGTACCCCCACAAGTTAAGAACCTTTCAACCTGAGTAGCGTGCCCCTGTAAATTTGTCCTTGACATGACAAGGTGCAGACGCTGCATAATGTGTGTAAGCCTATATTCTTTTCCTATTTCTTGCCCTCTTGTGATGTCTTTGAGGCCACTTGTTTGTTCTCCTCCTTCTGCTGTAGCTGAGGTCCGGGGGGGGGGGGGGGGGGGGGTGTTTACATCGTATTTAAGAAAGGTGGGGAACGGAAGGAGGCGGGGCGAGGGGAGGGGGGGGGGCGCATGCTTGATAAACCATGGAAACATGCTCCGCTGTCCCATTGTCATTATCAAGTGCCTTGCCGACTGGCTTTGGCGATCATAGCTCTCTATTTGTGTGCTGACACCCTTCCAATTCACGAGGAAAGGCTGTCAGTAATCTTCTCGCGTTCTCTACCTCTGAATCTCTTTTTTTTTTTTTTCTTCACATGGCTTTCTTTCTTCTTATAACATGACCAACGTGTTTCTTGTTGATGTTTGTGATGAGTTGCCAACGAGCCCTCGCCTCTTAAAAAATTTATGGGCTGCTCTTTTTTTGGCTTTGAAAGGAACTCTAAGGATTCTTCTGTAAAACCTTATCTCCAAAGCCTCAAGGATTGTTCGGCTTGTTTAGTAATTGTCCAAATGTGCTCACAATTATTTGAGAAACGGAAGAGAAGAAAAAAGATCGGCTTTGTCATCTCGAATGCGGTCAGAACAGCTACCAACGCCCGCGTTACACTATCAGAAAAGATCTAATGGAGGGGAACATGGACTGATGATATTAAAAACCTCTTATATTGACATAAGATGACAATAGCCACTGCAACCCACGAAGCAATGGATCGCAAATTCTTCTTCCCCGGTGCCTAACGATAAAAGATATCTGAAGCTGTCAGCCAGTTAAAGACCCCTGTCACCGATGTATTTCATGCAACATCGCTAGCAACTGATGGCGTAAACGACACTGTGGCTCGTGCAATAGAATGCCTCACGTATGTGGAAGGTACATTCGGGAATTCCAGACTTGTTTCCTGAACCACATACAGACAAGTCTTGCATACAGATCTGTGATACTAGACTGCCGAAGTGGGACTCCATCGGCGCACTCTGACCAGACTAGTACGTGGAGAAGGGAGTGCTGGCGATCAATCCAAGCATGGTGTGGTGATCAAGTCTCACTCAATCCAAGCATGGCGGGGTGATCAAGTCTCACTCAATCCAAGCATGGTGTGATGATTAAGTCTCACTCAATCCAAGCATGCCCATTAAGATTCCTAGCCATGAGTACCAACAATGAAGCTGATTGTTTACTGTCGTCGTGGACAATTACTGTGGCTTTCTTGCAGTATCCAACAAGACTGTGTATGCATGCCACAATGTTTAGGCAGAACAATAATGTGAGGGGTAATTCCCGGAAAAAAAGAGAGAGGACAGCTGCCCTAAATTTGACACCGGCATCGACACAAATAAGGTAGACGAAGTGGAAAGGCTTAGAGAGTGTTAACCCTTTCATCCCAGCACACTAGAAAAATAGGCCATGATTCCATCAGAATTGCAGGGGGTGGGGGGGGGGGCGCTTTAAAAATCGTTGCAAATCTATGTATCTACTTTCCCCCTTTCAGATATGTAAAGTTATCTGACTGGAGTAATAAACACACACGAACAGGGTGAAGCATTAAATAGAATACAGTCAACCTATGGATCCGGTGACTTAGGACTGTGAAACTGTGACCTCTATTATTGAGGTTTACATGAAAATTTTACGTCAACTTGAAATTCCCTCGAATATTATTTGCAAGTAACGAATTCATATCTTGACGTCCTAAACGTTTGTGCTTGTGCGAAAACAGCCCACAGCTTTTACCATAAGTCTCGTAAATAGGTCGCTATAGCCAAGTGGGAAAAGATACATTAACAGGAAGTGTCGGTTTTGTGGTTTCCTGTGGCGAAAGGAATAATGTACATGCTTTTGTTCGATCATATTCAGGGAGGCATGCTGGGGTACAACAATTATATAATTAAATATAAAAAGGTAACAACGGGGAAATAACAATCAACAAATCTCTCATGCAAATGTGTCCTGACCTGAAGGCCTCTTCTCCCAGGCAGACCCGCAGGCCCGGGTTGACCCTATAAACAGACAAGGCATTCGCATCGTCATCCGTTTTTGAATTGTAACAATCACATGGGCGTGGCTAATTTAAGTATTTATTATGTAACATTAATACGGTGTAAATATGATGTAACATATTGTAAACATGATGTAACATGTAACCCGTTGTGACGCCGTAACTGCTACATTCAAGCACTGCTCTTGTTGTTACTGTAACCATTTCTGTCTGTGTCAGCGGTAACTTTAACCCATCTTTTCTTTATATTGATTTATGCACGTTTTATAAGGTTAGCTGCGTATACTTTACAGGACGTTGCAGAACCAACCCCAGCAGTCTCTGGCTGTTTTATGGTTTCTCTAGGCAAATTTACGTCCAGTAGTTTGCCATTGCTTCTTGACGGTCGGCCCCCTGATACAACTGTCGAAACCAACGCAAGGCGCATGGCCTGCAGCTGGGATCGAACCCGGCACCCCGGCATTACGAAGCGTTCGCGTCGACTTAGCCACAAAGCCGACATTCATGTTTTATGTCAACAAAACCATGTTCTGTATTCCTTACAACATTGCTGGGCAGCCTTATTTCTTCATATGGCCATTTTGATACGCACAACATCATTTGGACATCTGTGTCGTCCCTACACAGGTTAGACTATGACAAGAAGACCGTCATGTTTTCGGTAATGTTAAAAAAATATTACTGTTTAATATTATATTAGCTGATAGGAAGCCCGAACGCCTAAAAACTGTCGACGTGTGTATAATCAATTGCTACGAGGACAGTTAGCATCTAAACCTTAAAACATTTGCTGCAGGAGACAGAGCATCTATGATTATGCCCGGTGTGCTATGATATCGATTCTTAAATCAGTAATCAGTAATAAATGTCCTTGGGACCCGCCTATTTCTTACACTTACACTGACGTCCTATCCAATATGGATAGGCAATCGACTATTTTCGTTGTCAGTTATTTGCTTCTAGAGACGGTTTACTGTTGTGTTTTCTTCCAGGAAAGTATACAGTTCTGCACTCAGCTACTGGGTTGAGTGCATGGTACAACACTGTGAGCTGCAGGTGGAATGTGTTTCGACTTCCCAGAGCTGACTGTGTTTGTTGTAAAGTCCAGATTCAGAGAATGGCAAGTGGCGTGCTGCCATGGAACTGGTGGTACCGTAGGCAAAATATCGCGTGCAGCTGTAGATATGCTGTAATTACTTCTTCCATCGACGGTAGACTGCAATTCTAGAGCGGGCGGCTTGCGTTGGCACTTCTGACAGCTGCCTTCTACATGTAATGTGCGCTTATGCTTGATCGAGACTACAGTTAGCTTTAGTTTTTGTTACAACGGTCGCTAACTTTTTAGTTAGAATTATAACTACTCAAAACATTACACAATTATTAATAAAGTTCATTGCGTATTCTTTCAATGACGATGCTAAACCAAGTCCAGCTTTATCTGGCTGTTATTGATTTCACTAGGCATTTTTTTTACGTTCAGTAGTTTGCCATTACTCTTCAACGGTCAGGTCTCAATACCACTGTCTAAACCAGCGCAAGGCGGTCTGCTGCCAAATCGCCATCTGATGCGATCAAACAGGGCACCTTGGAATTGTTACTGCTAGATAGGTCGCGATAATTTAGAAAATTGCTTTTCACAATAATATCTCGGCTAATAAACTTACTCAGATAAATCAGACCACAGATGTTTGCAGCAAGTTCCCTGGGATGTTTAATTTTCCCTTCCCACGTGTTCCGGTCAGTCTACTGGCTAGACATCGACCTGGCTGCTTCGAGATATGATGATAAATGATTTTGTGTATTTGTTTAGTGTTTTCTAATTTGTGTATGTGCTGATGAAGGCTTTATAGCCGCAACGTTCATGTTTTGTTCGTGTTTATTATATTGTGAAGCTCGCTGACATACTTTTCGTTGATGTTTTTATCTTTCCTTGAGCAAGTTCACTAGAATCGCAGCCGGAAATAATCAACTGTTAAATTTAACCGTAACCAAAAAAAAAAAAAAAACAGCTCAGGGAAGACAATCGTACACGTGGTGCCCTATAGTTTTAACTTTAACAATACCAGAACTGACTTTCTACCCCACCAGCGTATCACACAAGCGATAAACACCCGATGACACAATGTACCACCGTGTGGATGAGGATCACCCGTGGAGAGGTCCCAGAAATCGCGTTCAGCCATTGGACTATATTTATGGCCGGGCCATATTGCGGCCCCCCGGCAGGAGCCAGAGTAGGGCATCAAAAAAGAGCAAAATTACATCCCACAAGGAGATGACTGACTGACTGACTTTCTACCTCACTAGGACATTACACAAGCGATAAACACCCGATGACACAATGTGCCACCATGTGGGTGAGGATCACCGTGATGAGGTCCCAGAAACCGCGTTCAGTCCTTAGGCCTTATTTATGGCCGGGCTATATTGCGGCCGCTGGTAAGAGCCAGAGGAGGGCTTCAAATAACGAAAAATTGCATTCTTAAAAGGACGGGACGGAAATCACTAGATGACTGGTGAATCGCGTTTACAATACCACACATCCGATCATGCGTGTCTTGGTCGTTGTAATTCGTTAATCCTGTTTTCTTCTATTGCATATATTTTCACTTTAATTAAGAATGTTGCATAGCGTCTACGTGCAACTCTTTCAGACTTGAAGACGCTCTATTTGCTTACAAGTTTTTAGGATAGAGTAGTTAGAGTAGCAACTAGTTCGCAATCTTGATTGAGTCAATATGAAAAAAACCACAGAGGAAATAACCGAACAGACACGAATAGGAAAACTTACCGAAGGTCCCCTGTCGCCCTTGTCTCCCTTGGAACATTGACAGGTGGCGTCGTCACTTGTAGCGACCCCTGGCGGCCCGGGAGGTCCCTGGATGTGGAGCGGGAAAGAAACAAATAATCTCACATAAACCACGAAGGAACCTGGATGATAATGTCAGGCAACCTTACCTTCCCAGAACATTTCTTAGTGGTCATTTTGCCTGGTGATTATATCTGGTGGTTTTGGTGAATTAAATATAAAAGTCCCCCCGACTGAGATTTGAATATTTGACCATTTGCCCAGAAGGCAGGCGTATCATCTATATGAAACTGTAGCTGCCACAAATTCATGTATACTCATAGTTAGAGCCTGCGACGTTTCTCTTTGACATATCATTTAAGGCGGAACCGAAGGAGCTTGTAGGCATAAATCCCTTGAGTATCCCGATAAAAAGTTATGGAAGGAAAGGGGAGATGAGCCACCCCACCACACTCCCCATAACCCAAATATACACGTTCTTGTTTCAAGTATTTGTTTATAAGTGTCATATTATTTCAAATCTATTTAAAAAATGTTGCCATCAGGGCATTGGTATTATTATAACGAACTTAAACAAGGTTTAACGCGGCTGGGGCTTCTGGAAAATTGTAAGAGGTAATAATTTATGCCAGTGCCTCTAAATGTAGGCAGTGCATGCGTGCAGTCACTTCAGTCTAACCACATACTGCGCTCTCCGGCAAATGAAGATTACAGCAATGTCTTCGAAGAGTTCTGCACATAATGATTCCATCCTTGTAGCTGAACGACTGGCCGTGTCTTGATCAGCCTAACCTACTAGCGGAAGTTTTGCCTGTGAGCCACGCGGCTTAAAGAGTCGAATCCTGGATGACAAACAAAAATCAAGACCAGGTGACGCCTTTCTCGGACGCTAACACAAGGAAAACCTGGGATGGAACTCGATGGAACCAAACTTTTTTTTAAAGTGTTTAATAAAAATAATAACGATATTAATAATATTATTTTGTGCTTGATTTTGTGAATATATATATATATATATATATATATATATATATATATATATATATATATATATATATATATATATATATATATATATATATATATATGCTTACATTACACACACACATACACACACACATACATGAAATCATATGACATTCAAAAACATTCTCAAAAAGAGAACTTCTATGGGAAAAGGGCACGGAATAGAACCAGTCCTTTTTAAGTGTGCAATAATAATAATAATACTATGTGCTGAATGGCAAGTACATATAACAATATACATGAAATAATATGAAATATAGAGAGAAATACTAAAACGAGAACTTCTTTACTTCATCAGAGGGCCAGCTAACCATATTACAAATTCTAGCTGTATCTCAGTCCTTCCCCTACAATTGTTCTGGAGTGGGGGAATAGGGCGAGTGAAAGATTTGGTCATAGTGAGCTATCGCTGATAGGGCGAGTAAAGGATTTAGTCACAGTAAGCTATCGCTGATAGGGCAAATGACAGATTTAGTCACAGTAAGCTATCGCTGATAGGGCAAATAACAGATTTAGTCACAGTAAGCTATCGCTGATAGGGCGAATGACAGATTTAGTCATAGTAAGCTATCGCTGATAGGGCAAATGACAGATTTAGTCACAGTAAGCTATCGCTGATAGGGCAAATGACAGATTTAGTCACAGTAAGCTATCACTGATAGGGCGAATGACAGATTTAGTCATAGTAAGCTATCACTGATAGGGCAAATGACAGATTTAGTCACAGTAAGCTATCGCTGATAGAGCGAGTGAAAGATTTAGTCATAGTAAGCTATCGCTGATAGGGCAAATGACAGATTTAGTCACAGTAAGCTATCGCTGATAGAGCGAGTAAAAGATTTAGTCATAGTAAGCTATCGCTGATAGGGCAAATGACAGATTTAGTCACAGTAAGCTATCGCTGATAGAGCGAGTGAAACATTTAGTCACAGTAAGCTATCGCTGATAGGGCAAATGACAGATTTAGTCATAGTAAGCTATCACTGAAAGGGCGAGTGAAAGATTTAGTCATAGTAAGCTATCACTGATAGGGCGAGTGAAAGATTTAGTCATAGTAAGCTATCGCTGATAGGGCAAGTGAAAGATTTAGTCACAGTAAGCTATCGCTGATAGGGCGAATGACAGATTTAGTCACAGTAAGCTATCGCTGATAGGGCGAATGACAGATTTAGTCATAGTAAGCTATCGCTGATAGGGCGAGTGAAATATTTAGTCACAGTAGGCTATCGCTGATAGGGCGAATGACAGATTTAGTCATAGTAAGCTATCGCTGATAGGACGAGTGAAAGATTTAGTCACAGTAAGCTATCGCTGATAGGGCAAATGACAGATTTAGTCACAGTAAGCTATCAGCTGATATTACGAGTAGAAGATTTAGAATCAGACCAATTTATTACATCATATGTAACGTTGATGAGAGAAGTTAAAGTCATGCTTGGCTATTTCAGACGATCACCAAAACCACGAATCAGGTCAGTGCGCTTGTCTCGCCCCATCCATATGGCCAAGTCATCCAGGTATTTATATCGTCCCTTTTCCTCTGCTCTTTTATACCCATATTGCCATCGTCACCATGTACTCGAGACCGCCCTCTCTCTCTCACACATGTCCGAACACCATTAGGTGTCTACGACTAATTTATGTCATCTGTTTACGGTTTCAATCTGTCCCTTGTCTGTCTACGTCTAATTTATGTCATCTGTTTACGGTTTCAATCTGTCCCTTGTCTGTCTACGTCTAATTTATGTCACCTGTTTACGGTTTCAATCTGTCCCTTGTCTGTCTACGTCTAATTTATGTCACCTGTTTACGGTTTCAATCTGTCCCTTGTCTGTCTACGTCTAATTACTCTAACCTGTTTACGGTTTCAATCTGTCCCTTGTCTGTCTACGTCTAATTACTCTAACCTGTTTACGGTTTCAATCTGTCCCTTGTCTGTCTACGTCTAATTACTCTAACATGTTTACGGTTTCAATCTGTCCCTTGTCTGTCTACGTCTAATTACTCTAACATGTTTACGGTTTCAATCTGTCCCTTGTCTGTCTACGTCTAATTACTCTAACATGTTTACGGTTTCAATCTGTCCCTTGTCTGTCTACGTCTAATTACTCTAACCTGTTTACGGTTTTAATCTGTCTCTTGGCTGTTTACGTCTAATTACTCTAGCCTGTTTACGGATTCAATATGTCCATTGACTGTCTACGTCTAATTACTCTAACCTGTTTAGATTTTTATCAATATGTCCCTTGACTGTCTGCGTCTAATTACTATAACCTCCTTACGGTTTCAATCTGTCTCTTGGCTGTTTACGTCTGATTACTCTAATCTGTTTATTGTTTCTATCTATCGCCACAAGGACCGCCCCGTGTGTGTTTCTATCACACCATATTTCCTGCATTCTACCAAATCTGTCGTGAGTAAATGTTTCACAAGTGGCCTGCTTATCGTGCCCGTCTCAGATATATGAAGTAATAATATCTAACCCCAGCTTCAATTAACGTTTTTATTAACCGACTGTCTGTCGTTCAACCCCACCAGGGCCGTTCAAAAAGAGACCGATACCCAAGGACACAAAGTGTCACTATTCAGATGAGAATCACCCGGGCATAAGTCCAAGAAACCCCGTTCAGCCGTTAGGTTATTTTATCCCTTCCCCCCACCCCCTTTTTTGACAGCCGGGTGGGGTTTTAAAGTAACGAAATAAATTGCAACCCACATTGAGACGAGAATATAAATAATATTTTTTTTTTCTAAACAACAAAAGGGTTAACAAATTGAAACGATAAAACTTGCAATTGAATTGTGATGATAAATTACAAATGTAAAAACATCGGGTGGTGCCAAAGGATGACACACTATCAAACGGTGCATGACAGGCAGGTGGTGCCGTGGGATGACACACTGTCAAACTGTGCATGACAGGCAGGTGGTGCCGTGGGATGACACACTGTCAAACTGTGCATGACAGGCAGGTGGTGCCGTGGGATGATACAATGCCAAACTGTGCATGACAGGCAGGTGGTGCCGTGGGATGATCCACTGTCAAACTGTACATGACAGGCAGGTGGTGCCGAGGGATGACACACTGTCAAACTGTGCATAATAGGCAGGTGGTACCGAGGGATGACACACTATCAAACTGTGCATGACAGGCAGGTGGTGCCGAGGGATGACACACTATCAAACTGCATGACAGGCAGAGATGCGAGCCGGCTTGATACAACAGTACACGAGGCAATGTGCATAAGACATGCATATGGCGAGTTAAATGATGGCGTGATGTTGTGGACAGATGGAGTGGTAAAGTGGGTGATGGCGTGATGTTGTGGACAGATGGAGTGGTAAAGTGGGTGATGGCGTGATGTTGTGGACAGATGGAGTGGTAAAGTGGATGATGGAATGATGTTGTGGACAGATGGAGTGGTAAAGTGGATGATAGCGGGGTAAAGTGGGGGGGGGGGAAGAGGGGGTGTGGAGAGTGCTAAGTTGTCAATACTGTGTGGTATAAAGTAGTAAAACGACTTGGTGAAGCTAAAATACTCTGTGGTAAAGTGAGAATAATGTGTTGCAAAGTGGAAAGATGGCGTGATAAAGTGGAAAGATAGAGTTGTAAAGTGGGAAGATAAATGATAAAGCTGGAAAATGACGTGGTGATGTGGGAAGATGAAGTGGTAAAGTGGAAAGATGACGTGGTAAAGTGGGTAGATAGTGTGGTAAAGCTGGAATACTCTGCGGTAAAGTGGAAAGATGGCGTGATAAAGTGGAAAGATATAGTGGTAAAGTGGAAAGATATAGTGGTAAAGTGGGTAGATAGTGTGGTAAAGCTGGAATACTCCGCGGTAAAGTGGAAAGATGGAGTTGTAAAGTGGGAAGATAAATGATAAAGCTGGAAAATGACGTGGTGATGTGGGAAGATGTAGTGGTAAAGTGGAAAGATGACGTGGTAAAGTGGGTAGATAGTGTGGTAAAGCTGGAATACTCTGCGGTAAAGTGGAAAGATGGCGTGATAAAGTGGAAAGATATAGTGGTAAAGTGGAAAGATATAGTGGTAAAGTGGGTAGATAGTGTGGTAAAGCTGGAATACTCCGCGGTAAAGTGGAAAGATGGAGTTGTAAAGTGGGAAGATAAATGATAAAGCTGGAAAATGACGTGGTGATGTGGGAAGATGTAGTGGTAAAGTGGAAAGATGACGTGGTAAAGTGGGTAGATAGTGTGGTAAAGCTGGAATACTCTGCGGTAAAGTGGGAAGATGGCGTGGTGAGGTGGCAAGATTACGTGAAAAAATGGCAAGATGAGGTAGTAAAGTAGAAAGGTGACGTGGTAACATAGGAAGATGATGTAGGAACGTGGGAAGATGGCGTGGTAAATTGGGAAGATGAAGTGGTAAGGTAGCAAGATAACGTGATAGAGTTGGAAGAGGATAGGGTAAGGTGACAAGATGACGTAGGAAAGTTGAAAGATGATGTGGTAAAGTGGGAAAATGATGTGGTAAAATGGAAAGATTACTTGGTGAAGTGGGAAGATGAAGTGGTAAAGTGGGAAGATGGTGTGGCAAAGTCGGAATACTCTGTGGTAAAGTGAGACTACTGTGTGGTAAAGTGGTAAGATGACGTGGTAAAGTGAGGGAGATGACGTGGTAAAGTGGTAAGGTGACGTGGTACACTGGCAAGGTGACGTAGTAAAGTGGGAAGATGACGTGGTAAAGTGGGAAGGTGACGTAGTAAAGTGGGAAGATGACGTTGTAAAGTGGGGGAGATGACGTGGTAAAGTGGGAACGATGCTATGCATGCTGGAAAGGGACACCCACACTAAACACAGCAAGCGAGAACACACAATTCATCAAATTTCCAACATAAAACACATCAAAATAAATAACGTTTGAAAGTTGCCATTCTTGAAATAAAATATAACCAAACACATCATCCCAGATGACAGAAATGACATGCGTATGAGTTTACAATGACACATGTCAGACGACATCAAAGGGCAATGCCAAGCAACTCACCGGAACCCCGGGTATTCCTATAGGACCCTGATGTTGAAAGTGACCAGAATCATATAGAAGCTGTTCAGATGGTTTTTTTATTACTTATTCTATATAAATGGTGGTTTAATTTGCTTTTAACTGTTGTTCTTGTTCATCATTACCACCACCACCATCTTGAGACGACGACCACCACCACCACCATCTTACCACAACCACTACCATCATCATCATTATGATCATTGTCATCTTCTTCTCCTACTTCGTCTAATTATATACTATAAATTTACAGACGACCATGGAGACTATCCAATGTAATGCCTCTGCCAGACTGATGGCATACATGACCAAGCCATCACATTCTTCCGTCAAGGCAGCTCGTTGCCAAAAGCTTTTCATGAAGCAGTTTAATTACGTCGGATGGACGAGCAATCTGTTGAGTGTGAAACACTTCTACCTCTCGACATCGCTGACAGCTTGTCATTAAGACTGGGTTAGATCTTCTTGTGATGACAGCTTGTCATTGAGACTGGGTTAGATCTTCTTGTGATGACAGCTTGTCATTGAGACTGGGTTAGATCTTCTTGTGATGACAGCTTGTCATTGAGACTGGGTTAGATCTTCTTGTGATGACAGCTTGTCTTGTCATTGATGACTAAGTTAGATCTTCTTGTGATGACAGCTTGTCATTGAGACTGAGACTAATGACAGTTTGTCATTAAGACTGGGTTAGATCTTCTTGTGATGACAGGTTGTCATTGAGACTGCGTTAGATCTTCTTGTGATGACAGCTTGTCATTGAGACTGGGTTAGATCTTCTTGTGATGACAGCTTGTCATTGAGACTGCGTTAGATCTTCTTGTGATGACAGCTTGTCATTGAGACTAAGTTAGATCTTCTTGTGATGACAGCTTGTCATTGAGACTAAGTTAGATCTTCTTGTGATGACAGCTTGTCAGTGAGACTAAGTTAGATCTTCTTGTGATGACAGCTTGTCAGTGAGACTAAGTTAGATCTTCTTGTGATGACAGGTTGTCATTGAGACTGGGTTAGATCTTCTTGTGATGACAGCTTGTCATTGAGACTAAGTTAGATCTTCTTGTGATGACAGCTTGTCAGTGAGACTAAGTTAGATCTTGTTGAAATGACAGCTTGTCACTGAGACTAAGTTAGATCTTCTTGTGATGACAGCTTGTCATTGAGACTAAGTTAGATCTTCTTGTAATGACAGCTTGTCACTGAGACTAAGTTAGATCTTCTTGTGATGACAGCTTGTCATTAAGACTGGGTTAGATCTTCTTGTGATGACAGCTTGTCATTAAGACTGGGTTAGATCTTCTTGTGATGACAGCTTGTCATTGAGACTGGGTTAGATCTTCTTGTGATGACAGCTTGTCAGTGAGACTAAGTTAGATCTTCTTGTGATGACAGCTTGTCATTGAGACTAAGTTAGATCTTCTTGTGATGACAGCTTGTCAGTGAGACTAAGTTAGATCTTCTTGTGATGACAGCTTGTCATTGAGACTGGGTTAGATCTTCTTGTGATGACAGCATGTCACTGAGACTGGGTTAGAGCTTCTTGTGATGACAGCTTGTCAGTGAGACTGGGTTAGATCTTCTTGTGATGACAGCTTGTCATTAAGACTGCGTTAGATCTTCTTGTGATGACAGCTTGTCATTAAGACTGGGTTAGATCTTCTTGTGGTCTGATTTGATATGAGACTTCGGGGGACATTGCCTCATCATCACTTTCATCATCATCATTATCAACATTATGTGCCCTGTCGTATGTGTAGTCGGTCATGGTTCAAGTTTCTCACGATCACCAGAATGACACATCAAGTATATGTTTGTGCTATGTCGATGCCACCTAGACAAACCACATATGCGTTTATATCTGTGCACTTTTCCCATCACATTTGCAGTCGCCAGTAAAATTGTAAGAGCGTTTTCATGTCGAAAATATTTTCACTGCCACATCAACTTTTTCTCAGTAGGTAACGCTTTCCGTCTGTTTATTGGCAAACATCCTCGTTTTTTTCAATCTCCGACAATTTACGTGCCTGCGTTACTCTTTCCGGCTGCCACCTCAGGGTTTTTCTCACCCTCTGAAAACATAGAGTCAGATCCGGGGCGGGAAACCAACAGACCAAATCAGTAATCCCGTTCAATATCTAATGAAGTTTTAATTGGGGAACTTGTAATGACTCAACGAGTACTTCCCTGGGTTACCTTATAGTCTCAACAAGGTACAGGTAAAACGTTTAAAGCCCTTCTGTGGTATTTTCTGTATGCTCATCAGAAACCCAACAGAAGATGGCAACTACATACTTACAGGTAACCCATCAGAAGATGGCAACTAAATACTTACAGGTAACCCAACAGATGATGGCAACTAAATACTTACAGGTAATCCAACAGATGATGGCAACTAAATACTTACAGGTAACCCTACAGAAGATGGCAACTAAATACTTACAGGTAACCCATCAGAAGATGGCAACTAAATACTTACAGGTAACCGAACAGAAGATGGCAACTAAATACTTACAGGTAACCCAACAGAAGATGGCAACTAAATACTTACAGGTAACCCAACAGATGATGGCAACTAAATACTTACAGGTAACCCAACAGATGATGGCAACTAAATACTTACAGGTAACCCAACAGATGATGGCAACTAAATACTTACAGGTAACCCAACAGATGATGGCAACTAAATACTTACAGGTAACCCAACAGATGATGGCAAGGAAATACTTACAGGTAACCCAACAGAAGATGGCAACTAAATACTTACAGGTAACCCATCAGAAGATGGCAACTAAATACTTACAGGTAACCCAACAAAAGATGGCAACTAAATACTTACAGGTAACCCATCAGAAGATGGCAACTAAATACTTACAGGTAACCCAACAGAAGATGGCAACTAAATACTTACAGGTGACCCAACAGAAGATGGCAACTAAATACTTACAGTTAACCCATCAGAAGATGGCAACTAAATACTTACAGGTAACCCAAAAGATGATGGCAACTAAATACTTACAGGTAACCCAAAAGATGATGGCAACTAAATACTTACAGGTAACCCAACAGATGATGGCAACGAAATACTTACAGGTAACCCAACAGATGATGGCAACGAAATACTTACAGGTAACCCAACAGACGATGGCAACTAAATACTTACAGGTAACCCAACAGACGATGGCAACTAAATACTTACAGGTAACCCAACAGTTGATGGCAACTAAATACTTACAGGAAACCCAACAGAAGATGGCAACTAAATACTTACAGGTAACCCAACAGATGATGGCAACTAAATACTTACAGGTAACCCAACAGATGATGGCAACTAAATACTTACAGGTAACTCAACAGATGATGGCAACGAAATACTTACAGGTAACCCAACAGATGATGGCAACTAAATACTTACAGGTAACCCAACAGAAGATGGCAACTAAATACTTACAGGTGACCCAACAGATGATGGCAACTAAATACTTACAGGTAACCCAACAGATGATGGCAACTAAATACTTACAGGTAACCCAACAGATGATGGCAACTAAATACTTACAGGTAACCCAACAGATGATGGCAACTAAATACTTACAGGTAACCCAACAGATGATGGCAACGAAATACTTACAGGTAACCCAACAGATGATGGCAACTAAATACTTACAGGTAACTCAACAGATGATGGCAACGAAATACTTACAGGTAACCCAACAGATGATGGCAACTAAATACTTACAGGTAACCCAACAGAAGATGGCAACTAAATACTTACAGGTAACCCAACAGATGATGGCAACTAAATACTTACAGGTAACCCAACAGAAGATGGCAACTAAATACTTACAGGTAACCCAACAGATGATGGCAACTAAATACTTACAGGTAACCCAACAGATGATGGCAACTAAATACTTACAGGTAACCCAATGCAGAAGACTACAGATGATGGCAACTAAATACTTACAGGTAACCCAACAGAATGGCAACGAAATACTTACAGGTAACACAACACAGATGATGGCAACTAAATACTTACAGGTAACCCAACAGATGATGGCAACATACTTCACAGCCCAACGGGGAGAAGATGGCAACTAAATACTTACAGGTAACCCATCAGATGATGAACTAACAAACTGTAACATTTTAATACTTACTTACAGGTAACCCAACAGATGATGGCAACTAAATACTTACAGGTAACCCATCAGATGATGGCAACTAAATACTTACAGGTAACCCAACAGATGATGGTCTAAAATACTTACAGTTGACAACATCGCAACATAAATACTTACAGGAGTGCAGAATTGGTAACTTTAAGGTTTGACAGGTATCGCCATCGACTTACAGGTACCCATCAGATTCAGGCAAGATTGTCTACAACTAATGTTGAACAACTTACAGGTAACAAGTGCTGATTGGTCTACAGTAATATGGCAACTAAATACTTACAGGTACACCCAACAGATGATGGAAACTAAATACTTACAGGTAACCCAACAGAAGATGGCAACTGCTTACAGGTGACCCAAAGAAGATGTCGTACTAATCTACAGAGAAGAAGGCAACTAAATACTTACAGGTAACCCAACAGATGATGGCAACTAAAAGTAACCCAACAGAAGATGGCAATAAAATACTTACAGGTAACCCAACAGAGATGGCAACAAAATACTTACAGGTAACCCAACAGATCTGTACTATTCAAAAAATACTTACTGGTAACCCAACAGATGATGGCAACACTCAGGTTCTGGAGCAGATGACTGCAGTTCAGTAGTGGACGAGCAACCAAATCCTTACAGGTAACCCAGAGTTGGCAACAGCTGGTAACCAAGCGAATGAAGAAAAGACATACAAACCTCAGTGGCATACACAGAACCCTTGGCAACCTCTTTCATAAGATGGCCTCATTTTGTTACTTACTTACATTCTAGAATATGGCAACTAAATACTTACAGGTAAACCAACAGAAGATGGCAACTAAATACTTACAGGTACACCCAACAGATGATTAGCAACTAAATGACTTACAGGTAACTTATTCGGCAACAAATTTTTAAGAACAAAATGTTCCCTAAATACTTCTCACAGGTAACCCATGTCAGTTCGGTTTTTATTCATTTACATATTATAAAAAGATGATGAACTTAATCTCTTCTACCCACATAGGATAATACTTACAGTCTCATTCCTTACTAAAATTATATAGAGAGAATGTCGTATTTCCTTCCACATTATATGTAAGAACTCGTATTTCCAGGTCCACCATCCTAAGATATCAGTTCAATTTTCTACTACATGTAACCCAACAGTTGTTATTTTCTTCTGCATTTTTGGATAGAAAGCGACCATACTAATACTGCACCCAGCTGTGACGGAGAATAACAGACTACAAATATGAATTGACATTCTATCACTTACCTGGTCACCCTTTAAACCTGTGGCCAACCTCTGTCTCCCTGGAAACGAAAGTAAACGGCAGGAAATTAACGCAATGACCAAACCAATTATTGTTCGTTTAAACTACATAAAGGCTATCCATTCTTTTCTTCTTCCTTTAAATTACCGCTTTGGGCTTGTGACACAGTTGTATCTTCACATCCCCCAGAAATAGATGTGCCTTATTCGGACATAGTGTGTTATGGATACAGTTCGTAGCTCTCTTGAATCGTACTCAACAACAAGGCCCAGTGATGTAATAAACTATTACACCGAGTTTAAACTAAATACTTAGGTAACACAACGTGCTGCAACTAATACTTACAGGTAACCCAATAGGGCCAGGTTAACAATATTGTCAAGTCAAAGCAGTACTAATATATTTCATTTATGCAACAGCATAACATTCTAGTATCTTATTGTTGGGGTTCATATATCTCACCATAAGTTCTTTTATCTCTCTAGCCAAGCTAAACCAAAGTTTCATATTCTTCTAACGAAGTTTTTCAAACTGCCCATCTTAAGCGGCTAGTAACTCTCTTGTGGACCTCATCGCTCGCTGCTGATTCATCTATAATAATGTTGACAATATCGCCATCGAGTGCTGATTGGTCTACATTAATGTTGACAATATCGCCATCGAGTGCTGATTGGTCTACATTAAAGTTGACAATATCGCCATCGAGTGCTGATTGGTCTATATTAATTTTGACAATATCGCCATCGAGTGCTGATTGGTCTACATTAATGTTGACAATATCGCTATCAAGTGCTGATTGGTCTACAGTAATATGATATATACATGAAGCCTACAGGGCCCCATTGTGGGAAAAACAAGAATAGACCCACTGCCTCCCCAAAAGCATGTCGTAAGAATCGACTAATTGGGAAGCTTCCTTTGAAGTCGGAGTGCATCTACCGGAGAGGCAAGGAACCAACAGTCTGTATTCAAAAGAATAAGATCTGTAAAAACTTATGCACACGCAACACTCAGGTTCTGGAGCAGGACTGCAGTTCAGTAGTGGACGAGCAACCAAATCCTTCCGCCAGAGTTTACAGCTGGTGAACGCGAAGAAGAAGAAGAAGACATGAAACCTCAGTGGCATAAAAGAACCCTTGAATTCTCTTTCATTCCCCCCCCCCCCCTCCTTTTGTTTCCTTACTTACATTCTAGAATAGACTGCTTCATCTCTAGGTACTCCAATTAAATGTCACAATAACCTTCTACATCCGACAATGGAATTAGCAACTTTAATGAGGTTAGACTACTTATTCGTTTCAAATTTCTAAGACAAAATGTTCCATTCTCACATATAAAATGTCAGTTCGGTTTTTATTCATTTACATATTATAAAAAATTATGACTTATTCTCTTCTACACACATAGGATAATGTCTCATTCCCTTCTAAATTATATAGAGAGAATGTCGTATTTCCTTCTACATTATATGTAGAGAATGTCGTATTTCCTTCCACATCCTAAGATATCAGTTCAATTTTCCCTACTACATGTCAAGATATCAGTTGTTATTTTCTTCTGCATTTTTGGATAGAAAGCGACCATACTAATCCTGCACAGCTGTGACGGAGAATAACAGACTACAAATATGAATTGACATTCTATCACTTACCTGGTCACCCTTTAAACCTGTGGGACCTCTGTCTCCCTGGAAACGAAAGTAAACGGCAGGAAATTAACGCAGTGACCAAACCAATTATTGTTCGTTTAACTGCATAAAGGCTATCCATTCTTTTTCTTCTTCCACACTTAAATTACCGCTTTGGGCTTGTGACACAGTTGTATCTTCACATCCCCCAGAAATAGATGTGCCTTATTCGGACATAGTGTGTTATGGATACAGTTCGTAGCTCTCTTGAATCGTACTCAACAACAAGGCCAGTGATGTAATAAACTATTACACCGGAGTTTGTTTATTAACAATATTGTCAAGTCAAGCAGTACTAATATATTTCATTTATGCAACAGCATAACATTCTAGTATCTTATTGTTGGCTGTTCATATATCTCACCATAAGTTCTTTTATCTCTCTAGCCAAGCTAAACCAAAGTTTCATATATCTTCTAACGAAGTTTTCTCAACTGCCCTCTTAAGCGGCTAGGCACTAACTCTCTTGTCTCCTCTTCGCTCGCTCAGATCTCTTTACTCCTGCTTCCTCTCTCTCCTCCGCGTAGGTTCTCAATCGTCCCCTGTCACCCGTTTCCGGTGATCATGTTTGGATAAACGTACTCTATTCAACTGGTCACAGTGCACTTGGTTTATCTGTTTCGCTTTGTCGGGCTAGCGTTCTAATCACGGTTTTCTGTCATACCAGCCAGTGATGGGTTGGTATGCCTTGATGCTGGTCAGAAATGTATGCGTTCTTAATTAACCCCTTCCTAACTATATTTCATTACAGGCTTTAAGGAAGATAAAAGGTCCCGCTTCCTGTTCTTCTTACCATCCCGACCATAGACACATCGTGTTGGTGTAGAGTTTTTCTGATGTTTTCTGTCCATCTTGTTCTTCGTCTGTACAGTGCTCTACGTCCTTCTTCTCTTTTCCTGGATGCCTCGTATGGTGTGGCGTCGCAAGGCATTCTCTCTAAGTGTGCACTCCATTTGATTCGCTGTCTTTGTAAGAACAAGAACTGTCATGGCGAAGGTGACATTAAACAAATGCAAAAGATTTTCACCAATAAGAATATGTTACTTCCAGTGAGAAAAAGGATGTTTACATGTTATCTAGAACCTCTGTTGTTAAATATGTGTGAAACATGGACAATAAGCTGAAAAACATTTACCCGCGGCATAGATTTGGTTTCTGAGAAGAAAGCAAAGAATATCACGGAAGGAGAGATAAAACAAACGAAGCAGACCTCATCGACACAGATGAAAGTCGTTAATTTATTAGAACTATTAAACAAAGAGTCAATATTTTCTTAACATGTTATGGAAAGTAATTGGCTTAGTAACTTGGTAACTGGCCAGATTTATGGAAAAAGAGCAAGAGGAAGGCAAAGAGATAAACACCTGGGTGGCTTGGTCATGTTGGTGGGGCGGGACAAAAACATTGAACTGATCTGTGAATGTGGTGATCGTGTGAGATGTTGAAACACGACAACCCACGCTTACCGGCAAAGCACATGATGGTGATGATTTGTGTACCATAAGTCACAAATATACACACAGCTAGCAAATAAAAACATATTCTCAAGCCATGCAAACAGAATCACACAGATTAACCGACATACACACGCACGCACAGTCATGCACACAGACATACATACACATATCAGGACTAAAACACACAGACACACGCACACAAACACATACACACAGAGGTATAAACACAGATTAGCCCTAAAACAGTTACCTTGATTCCTGGCGGGCCTTGCATTCCCATTGGACCCTAAAATGGT